TGTTTCAGAGCATACAATTATTATACAGTAATGTGATACTGTCCATTCTGAACTTCAGTTTGGTACTGTAGTTTACACTGGGATGTTTTATTGCTCCAGAATTCCCCTTCAATCTGTGAAACAATGTTGCCTTTGCTACTGCTGTGAATTGCTACAGTACATCAGAGCTCGTTTCTTATTGTATTATTTCACTCTTTCCACTGGGTGGCGTGCTCAACAAGCCTCAAACAGAGCTTCCTATCTACATCATACTGTACGGTATTTTTTTCATGTAGCCAGGCTTACAATCCCACATTGATTTTGTAACATCAAATGCTCTATTTTATAAAAAATTGACAAACAGCTTGAAAAAACTCTTTGATGGTCCTAAAAGTGTCAGTGTCTGCTGGCTGATGATTTAGACTTTGAAAATTCAGACACTGCCTTCATGTTCAACACTCTTCTGTACTGTACAATTATATAAGGAATTTAATAACATATTGTACTGCATTGCAACACTGCACATGACATGCAAGTTAAAAAGTACATTTCATTTTGATGATTTTTAAATGAAACTGGAAAATTGTCATTCTTAATTCAGTATTTGAAATATGTTTATTTGAGCATCTGTAGGATGAGACATATCAGGACTGGGAGGTTTTAAGAATTCCTACTAGGTGTAGGAATAGGGGTGGACCCAGGGTTAGGCAGGATATAGTATGAGGGTCAGGATCAGAGTAAGAAAAGAGTTAGAATCGAGGGCTTAGAGTTGGATTAGGTTTGTGGTTGAGAATGAGAATTCGTACACATGGGAGGAGTAAATACAAAAAAACAGTGAAACACATACTGGAGGACACATGTGGAAACTATGTGGACGTACATTTAAAACTGGGAACCTGTTATTAAACCTAGATGCCTACAAGCAGACACGTCGAGCCATGAGGAAACACACTTGAAACCAAGTACACAAGGAATTTGTTTTGTGCAATGGAGTGCGGGAGTATGGGATAGGCTACCTGCCATGTTGCAGAAGCCCCTTTCTTCAGCAGTGCAGTATGCTAAAATGCTGTCAAACTATGGAAATCTGTATCTACTGGATAATAATAATTAGCATTTCTGGTATATAATAGTAATTAGCAATTAAGATTATCTGGATTAAAGCTAGGACAAGGGTAAATTTAAGGTAGTAGGGCAATGATTATAATTTAAATTGGACAGACTGTAGACTTCGGATTAAGATTAGGAATAAGTAACAACTGGACCTGGGTCACAAGAAACAGCAGAAATAACCTTTTGGCAGTGACTCTTGGGAATGACTTGACATGTGCACATACGCTATATAGTACAGTATGTTCCAATGCAACTTTAAGCCAAAACTGAACATATAGCAGAAATACTGGCATTCATCAAATATACAGATATATCCTAATTTATTGTGTCTAATAATAATAATAATAATAATTGCTTACACTTATATAGCGCTTTTCTGGACACTCCACTCAAAGCGCTATACAGGTAATGGGGATCCACCACCACCAGTGTGCAGCCCCACCTGGATGATGCGACGGCAGCCATAGTGCGCCAGAACACTCACCACACATCAGCTATCAGTGGGGAGGAGAGCAGAGTAATGTAGCCAATTCATAGAGGGGGATTATTAGGAGGCCATGATTGGTAAGGGCCAATGGGAAATTTGGCCAGGACGCCGGGGTTACACCCCTACTCTTTTCAAGAAACGCCATGGGATTTTTAATGACCACAGAGAGTCAGGACCTCGGTTTTACGGCTCATCCGAAGGACAGCACCTGTTTACAGTATAGTGTCCCCGTCACTATACTGGGGCATTAGGACCCACATGGACTGCAGGGTGAGCGCCCCCTGCTGGCCCCACTAACACCTCTTCCAGAAGCAACCTTAGTTTTTCCCAGGAGGTCTCCCATCCAGGTACTGACCAGGCTCACACCTGCTTAGCTTCAGTGGGTTGCCAGTTGTGAGTTGCAGGGTGATATGGCTGCTGGCTAATGCTACATAAACTGCATCTAAGACTCAGGCTAAATCACTGTGCTTGTGGGTTGATAACAGAGCACCATCAGGAAGAAGTAAATTAATATTAATCACACTATGTGCAAAATGGTCCATAATAAGCTGAAGAGCAGTCACACTCTGTTCAAACAGCAGAGCTGCAAGGTCACTTTAAATTATGATGGTTATTACGGGCTGCTCATTGTCATTTGGTGAATTCTAGGATTTGAGCAGATGATTGTTGCTGCTGCTGACAGGACTAACATGCACCTGAGGTGCAGGGAGCCGAGATGGAGGAGGGTGTCTGCACAGGTCTGTCTGTACTACAAATCAAATCAAGTATAGCTACTGTCGAAACTACAGAACATTATTGGCTAGGTCAGAGCCTCCTACCCTTGACCTACACTAGGCAGCTCTTTAGGAAATACAGCAGTTTAAGGACTGAGAGAGAAGAGAAAGTGCCAGGCTGGAGAAACAGGGCAAAGGGAGATTCTTCTGCACTACAATGCTACAGCGTGTTTCAGGCAGGATGGAGGAGGAATGGGTGAGGAGCAGGGGTGAGGAGACCCTGGCAGTGGAGGAGGCACAATGACAACAATGACTCATATTCTGGTCAGATCAGCTTGAAGCCCGAAAGGAACGCAGAGCTGAGAGAGCTTCGTGTAGGATTTCCTGCCAAGCTGCCCGCCCATCTGCAGCAACTAGGGAATGAGGGAGTGAAGCAGCACTAGTGTGAGGCAGGCAAGCTGACACTGTGGTGCGTCTCGTCAGGGAGCGGTGTTTGGGCCAAGGATGATGTCACTGGTGTCAAGAAGGTAATGGAGAAGCTCACTGGCACAGTATATATAAAACAGAGAGGTGCATGGACCTAAACAACCTTTTGGATGAAACCTTTGAAAACTGACTTCTTGATTGCATTTTAGGCACAATAATTTAAGAACAGCTGATTGACAGTGACCTTTGCTGGACTGAGATGTCATCCAGGTCTAAGAAGCACCTCATCTCATCCTAAGTAATTTGCTTCAACAGCTACAGTGCGTAGTTTTCTCCAGAGACATCACCTACAGAATTAATGTTTTATTCTGGAGTTTCAGCAATGCCTACTTCAATTCTTAAGCAGGCTTTCACCAACAATCTAGAAAGAAGCCAAATGATCTAATTTCACTGATTCTATCTTGGCAGGTACAAAAGTAGATAATACTGACTTGCTTCAATTTTGAGAAGTAAAGACATCAAAAGGAAACACCCTACTCTGGGCATCTGCACTGAGGAATCCACAATCAATTATGATAAAGTTACACAACAACTGGTAAGAGGCAATGCAAACAAAACTGTATTACTGTAGGTTAGGTGAAATCAGAGAAACACTCCAGAAAGCAGGAAACCCCCCTTTCTGAAACTGGTAAACCCATAACAGGAAATACAATTGTGTAATAAGGATTTGGTCAGGATGTTGCTTCTGAAACCTCTTTCATGTGTTAATTTTAACAGTGTACAGTATATTAAAGCAAGTCCCTTGTAATAAATGCTGGATAACTGGAAAGACAGCTTGGCTTACTGCTAAGTCACTGTTTAAATGCACACTGAAAGCACAGAAGCAATCTCTGATCTCACTGCACCTTGTTCTTCCTAGTAACACCGTAGGTACAGTGCTGCTCAACCAGAAAGTTACAGCACTTAGGAGGCAAATTACTGTAATCTCAAAAATGGGAACCGCTTTACAAAGCCATCAACTTGAAAGCAGGACAGCATTAAACATTTAGCAACAGCAAGAAATTAATAGAACGGTTTGAATGACAAATTCAAAGACAGAACATACATACTGTACTGTATGTATCTTATTTCATCTTTGTATTGATTGTTGTTCTTTAGTTTTGTTTTTAACAAAAAATAAATAAACCAAGTAGATTAGATAGAGAGTTGAACATAAATCTGTCATAAAAATATAAAATGTCAGCTAAAGCAATTTACTGTATTCTCCGTATAAATTATTTAAAAAAAAATACAGGTGCACTATTTTGTACTGAAACATCAGGCTACATGAGGCTGCAAAAGAAAAATTACATAAAAATTGTAATGGTATTTCATAAGTAAGTCTGTGATGTACATGATATAAAAAAGAAAAAAATAACTCCCTTGAAATATAAACATTTACATTTGAAATAGTTCCCGCAATTTAAGGTAGTGGGGGGCTAAACTCTTTAATATTTCTAAGCACAACTCCCAAAGAATGATCAATGCTTAGAAACAGTAGCTCTTAATAGGAGGTCAAAATGCACATATTCAGAAATTATCATCAGTCATAATTCTGCATAATGATTGTGCCACAATTCTTATGAGGAGAGCCCATAACCACCTCACTGACAGTAAGACCAATTATGCAATGATGTTACTCAGCAAAGGTCTAGCAAAGACTTAATTGCCTATTTCTAACTAAAATAAAGATCCTTCAGTTCTGAGGTCTCTTGCTTTACTACATCATTATTGCGAGGCCTAAAGGTGCTGACTTATTAAATTGCCTATTAAACAATTAACAGTGCTACTGAAGGTTTTAAGACATCCTGCCAGCTGGAACTGGTACAATACGGTTTGTCACAGGCTTCCAACTCATGTGCTCGATTTTTACTAAGATACGACAGAAGATACGTAATTTCTTACAGATTAATTTATCAAAACATATATAAAGGCAGAATTCTCCAAAACCTGAAACAGTAAGTGGCAGGCAGCCAGCTAGTCCTGTTTCTAATTTCGTGCCACAGTTCTGCTGACTCTAGTGAATCACCTGTGCTTCAGACTACATCAAATTAAATATATAACTTTAAACAAACTTATTACATTAGGATGTTATTTTCATGTGTATGTGTACCCCTCATGTTTTTTTAATTGTTTTATAGGATTTGAATAATCTCTAACAAAGATACTGGTGTTTGATCTGCATTATGTGAAGTGTAATGCATTTGCAGACATAACCCTAGAAGTGAAAGAACACATTTCAGTACCTCTTTCAAGCAGCCCATGAAATTGTTGCTGACAGGAGAACCAGGCAGATCCGCTGTGCTTGGACTACCACCAACATAGAAGAAGTCATCTGAGCCAAGCATGGTGTAGTCTTCTTGTGTGTACCCAGTAGTGGTTAAGATGCCATCTACAGATATTGTCACCTGTTCAAAGAATATAATCAAGAAAACAATGCCCACACATGACCTTCTAGGATTGTTTCACAGGAGGTACTGTCTCCTAGGACTCGTTCAGTCATTTTGGATCGTATGGTTCAGTCTCCATTTTCTGGATTTGAATAAGACCCATTACAATTTTTTCTTCTTTTTATTATTATTTTGGTTTTGAAGGAATCGCTGACAAGTAAAGAAAATATTTGAGAAACATATTTTCTTTACCTTGATGGGGGCAAGAAAATGGAAGAGTTTTGGTTGTCGCCATCATTTAGGTTTAGAGGGTTAGTCAATGTTAAAACCAAGAACAATCGCTTGTACTTGTTTTATTCAGGGTTACAGTTTCGGATCAGTCGGACATCGACAAGCATGCGTCCCAAAAGGAGTCTTACCATCAAACATCATGAATGCGCAAGCCATGATTTTGTCGGGTGTGTCGGGGTGGGGGGGGGGGGGGGGGGGGGAGGGTGTTTTTCTCAAAAACGGCTCAAACCGGGGAAGAAAGTCAAGTCAAGGAGGCCACCACCGATATGAGCCAGACGCCTAATAAACTCAAAAAAGCATGCAAGCGCCAAGCATGAAACACCCAGGCACAACGAAGGGCACAGGAGAGGTGTAGGTGCTGCCACAGGCACTGCTGCCCCTCACATGCCATGAGAAGAAAGGCGGAGTCCGGTGTGGCAGGGACACAGAGCCAGGGCACAGGGGGAGTTAGAGTGTTAGTGGACACACGTTAGCAGACAGGGTGGGATGGGCACAGGTAGTGAGGGAAGCAGTGATATTTAGGCATGCCATGCACAGAGTGTACTGGAAACAACTGACAGAGCTCCCGCGTTTCCATTTTGTTTTTTGTAGTTGTTGTTGTTGTTGGTTTTTTTTTTTTATGGAAAGCTTCTGCCAGTTCGCCTGTAGTCTTCACCAAAAAAATAAAAAATAAAATGTGGAGGCTTTGTTAATACACTAAGCCCTACAAACAGGCCCGATCTGAAATCTTTGCAAGAGTGGAAGACGTTAAAAGAAGAGAGGGGGGAAAAAGAAGTAAAAGCCGTGGTGAAAATCTGGGGGAGGAGGGGAAGGGGGGGGAAATTAAAAGTGAAGAAAGCCAAGAAATACCAACCCCGTTTCCTCATTTTTTGATAATGGTGTCTACAATGAAACCGAAATAAAAGGAAGAGGGGAAGGATACACACGGCAAACCCAAAAAAAGACAATAAGAATGATATCTACCAGACAATGTAGTTTGTTTACCATAGCGTGTCCAATGCCTGAGTGCTTTGCGGAAAAGGGGGGAAGAAAGGAAATTAAAAAATAGTGAACAGAACGGTTGTTAATAAAAAAATGAAACAAAAAAACAATGATGAGTAATTAGGGTGTTAGTACATTAGTTGGTTAGGTATCGGTTAGTAAAAAAAATGATTCATTCCATGAATGGTTAGTGTTAGTCTTACAAAGCGTGTCCTTTCGAAACAGAGAGAGAGAAAGGGAGAGAAGAGAGATGCAAGGGCAGGAGTAAAGGCCCAGAGCTACTTCAACTTGATCAAGTTCCAAAACCACAATATTTCTTGGCAGGACAACCCTACCGAGGGCACAAGTCTTGTCTTAGTAGTAATATGAAATCAGTACTTACTTGTCAACCTCTTCCAAAACTCAAACCGTAGCGTGATCCCAAAAGCGGTTTTACTTGTCACTGAAGCTAACGGCCTCCCCACCAGTCAGCTATTAAAAGCCCTTGCACTTGTAAACTATACTATGAATTCCACATCCTCTCTGCAGTTCCCCACTCTGTTCACTGGAGCTGAATGTGACCATCTGTAAATCAACGATTTTGTGTGTAATCTGTTGAGCACCTCTCAAATCTGGCACAGCCAAACCTGTAAACTCCTACGAAATTCAAGTTCTTGAGCAGTTTTATACCTGTCTTTTTCTTGCATCTGCCTTATGTAGTTTATATTTTTATAAATGTGGATATACAGATGCACATGTACAGTATCAGTATTTACAAACAGTATAATATCATACTGTAAAACAATCTAACTACCTGATAAAACACATAACCCCCATGTAACCAAAAAATACAAATACTGTAAATCAACAATAAAAGACGCAGCACTCCTAACTATAATCTATAAGGCAGTTTCCTGTACAGAGATGGATGGCACCATCATCTGGGCAGCACAGCGATGAAGCTATTGTCCCCTCTGTTCTGATACTGCCTCCTCATCTTCCGTCTGCAGTGCTAAACCCATCTAGGTCAAAGCTCCCCAAGAAAAAGAAAGAACCTGCACTATTTGTACTGTATATCTTGAACTATGGTTTGCCAACAGCTTTACAGTTACAGAAATACTACTATTGAGTAGACAGAAATGGTCTGACTTGGTTGGCACTCCCTTGCTTCGGATAGAGTCGCTAGACCCAAGAGTGGTGGAAATAGCTCAGAAAAAATTCAGTCTTCTACAGCCATCAAGCTAATGATGGTGTCTGACAGAGGAGCCTGCTTAGAGAAGCAAAAAGTGACGTAAAATGGATAAAATCAGAAAGGAAATTGGTGCTCTTGGAATTCGGAACATAATCTTTTACATAAACTGAAAGCCATCTGAATAAAATTTTAAAAAGTCAACTGAAAGTGAGAAGAATTAGCACAGAAAGGCTATGGACAGGAAAAGAAAATATATTATTTAATGGCATTCATAAAGAGAATGAAAAAAAAGGAAAACATAACAGAAGCAACTACTTAAAAAAAAAAGAATGCCAAAATAAATAAGAGATCACTTCTACACGCATATCAGAGTGAGGTCTTTCGTCTGCTGCTTACTCTCCCCTGCTCGCCCATGCGACACACCCCTCATCGATCCCCATCATTACCTGCCGCAAGTTCCGCGTGACCTTTACGTCATGCCACGAGTTGTCGTTGAATTTGCCGTTAACCGGCTCTACTATGGCCTCGAAAGCCCCCGATCCCAGGTTGATGACGAGGGACACGGCTCCGTCCTTCAGCGCCAGGTTGACGTAGTCCGCCGACTTGCCCGTGTGCAGGATGAGCCCGTTGCGCTGCCAGGTCTTGAAGGACAGGGTGATCTCGTCGCTGCTGCTCTGGATGGGGTTCTGCGACAGGTCGTAGCAGAAGTACTCCGACCCCCGGAAAGTGGCGACGTTCTCCTCTCTCGCTGCAGGGAACAGAGAGGACGTGTTTTTAAGCGTCGTGCTTTTCAGTTCCTCCTAGCCCTGCCATGAAAACTGGCACGTGTGAGGGGAAGCCTGGGGCAGACGCAGGCAGTACTACAGTAGCATGGTCAACGGTTTTTAATTTAGCATTTTCAGGTGACACATACAACACACTGGCCTACAGGTACCCCTACACTCGGAAAAACTCATTACTGTCGTCTTCGGCACACTTCTAAACTGGAGCCAATTTTCTGTTTAAGGACGCAAAGATGTCAGCAATTTGAAAAAAAGTGAAAGTCAAAGTGAAAAAGAGCCCACCCTCATTTACTGTATAGTGAGATATATAAAGCACAGTACATACACTATATAATGTACGGTGTACGCACACACAGTTTAACGCATGCTAAAAAGCAAACAATAGAAATAAAAGTCCCCCTCAAAATATGGACTGCAATGCTGGGCCTTCAATTCTATGGACGCTGCACTCGTTCGAAAACGCTTTTTCAGTGTTTTTGAAAGTAAGACATGTCTATGCGTCTGGAGTGTTTGTATTCATCTGAATCTATTACACTCAGAAACTCTTTAAGCAAAATACTAGCTGCAGTTTAACACTAAAGCTTTAATAAGGTCATCGGGATAGGCACACAATATAGAACGTCTCACACATAACAACAACACAGTTGCCTTTCTTCAATTTTAATGCTACTGTACAGTATATATATGTAATGGTTACATGTGTTGTATTTTAATCCTGAACAGTTTAAAGATCCTTGAAAACAGATGTACAGGTACAACATCACTGCTTAAATTCCTTATTTTAAAATCATGTTGATTAAAATATTTTTGTTAGTGTGGGTCATGCCATTTTACCTTAAGTATTTCTTTCACTTAACCCAAAGTATTTCCCTAAATGAACTGTCCATCACTGAATGAAGTGTCTTAATTTTTTTAAGCCACCAAACTACCCATTAGTAGCAAATTATCAGCACAGCTTGAAACCCACCCACTATCTTAAGGAAAAAAGTCAGTGCATTTTATTTTAAGGGATAACAACTAGAACATTCAAGGGAAATGTACAGAGCAAGAGATACTAGTACCTTCAAAACTAAGAACTGTGTACAGGTACTGCCAGCTAATATTCTGATGTTAAATGTGAACAAAATCAGTTGAAGAATGTAATTAAATAAACTCACACTACATCACCATAGGATAACCTCTCTCTGCAGTTGCTGGCAGTGGCTCTAAAATATTGATCACACCAATTATTAGTACTGCACTGGTTACTCATGAAGCCGCTTCCTGTAAACTGTGGTCACTGCGCTTGTCCAGGCTATCAGTGTTTGAACTTGCTAGTGTTTGATGGAGGAACAGGGCTTTAATATGTTGCAATGAATTTTCTGTGTTGTAGTGTCTTGAGGTTTTCACTAAGCTCACATGGTGAGAGATTTCCCGCATCTGCTTAGAGCAAAATTTAAGTCAATGGTATTTATTAATGAACAGTGGGCAGCTAGGGGGGACATTTGTAAACCAGACTGTGCCTTGCATTCCAATAAACCAAATATTAACCTTATGAAAGTGCTTTAATTGCCCCTTAGAAGATCCAACAACCCAGACCCAAGAACTCAACCTGTGTGAGATACAGTATACATTTCTGAGCAAGTTGTACTATGTAATAACACATCTACAGTATAAATTTAGATAAATTGCATTTAAGATTTCTTTTTATTTAAGCACAGTCTTTTTCTTCATTAGATTTACTGTACGCATTTTATGTTTAAATAGCATAAGTTACTGGTTAACATTTCTAGAAAATGCCCTACAGTGTATTGAAAAATAATTAACACAGTTACAATTATTTTAACTCACTGCAATGTTATATACGTATAAAATGTAAAAACACACAAAATATATATAATGAGTCCAAAAATAAAAACATACAGTATTCAAAAAAAGTTCGTAAATGATCTGTACAAGAACAAAAACTACTAAAGAATACAGTATTTCAGTGCATAAAGTTTAAGTCTACAAATGATTTATGCAGTACACAATCTCAAAACCCATTAATTTCTCTGCAAATCATGTTTTTTTAAAAAAATACTAACTAGTAAATTATTTTACCCCTTTACACTAATCTATTTTTGTTGTGCTTTGTTTGATTCGTAAATTACTAATTGAACTGCCAGTTTAACTAGGTTCAGGTTACACTCTTCAATACCCTGCACAATTCATTTTTCCCAGTTTTGGGAATTACTGATTGTTAATCAACCCAGCTAAAAAATACAAACCTTGTTATAGCATTTGGAAAAAATAAAGAAAAACTTCTACAGCACATTTCAAATGCTTAATTATTTGTTTCCTCTATCAGTAGAGAGGAAGAAGAACAATTATAAACCCAACAGACACGTGCTTTAAAGCTAAATCATGCTGGAAATTGCAGGTCTGCATAATCAGCTTTCCTTTCACTCAAATGTTAAGGTTGGTTGCTCAGTGTGCAAATCCAAAAATGTCAGAATGATGCCCAACTTCATTAGTTTTTGGCTCAGCTACTCGAAAACAAGGGAGAGCTTAGTGTTTGCCCAGCGGGGATTAAGACTGGAGACGATCCACGTCAAGAGATATGTTTCCCATAAATTCAGACCATCTACTTTATTTCAGTAGGGTGAGTGATACATTTTTGTAACTCCAACACTAAAGGGCCCATTGATTTAGTACCTCGTCTTTTTTAACTTTGCTCTCTAGGTTTGAAATGATCAGTGACAGAAAAATAAATAGTAATTGATAAAATTACAGTTTTTCTACCAATAGATGTTCATGGGTCACCAATGTTCTAATATGTGTAACAGAGTTTATTCCATAACACAGTTAAAGTATAATCAGCAGAAACACAGACTCAGTGGGTTGTCAGTGAGTCTGTGTTTCTGCCTGCCCAGTTTATAAGGCTGACAAAGGTGAGCAGAGTGCCCCTCTTGGCTGTAGACATACAATGAGTTAGAGGGAAAATAAAGACTTTGAACAGTACAAGTGCACTTGATCAGACATGCAGTAAGGATACAGGATCCCAGCTCTATGAAAGACTGTCAGAATGCCTGACACAAGACACAGCGCAATTATTTCCCCAAAGAAGCACCTCTGGTGCCATTTTGGACATACAAGCTAGCCAAGACCCAAACTGTCAGTGTCCCGAAGGTCCAGGTCTGTGCACACACCCTCTACAACATAATAAGAACAAGTCACACAAAGTGATCACAGCTGAACAGTGTATGATATTCTCAACACCTTGTTATTAAAAAAAAGACTGGAGATGGTGATTAAAGATTTTTCTGTAGTTTCAGAGCAGTAAATCCTGACCAGCAGGAAGGAATTGCGGATAAACACGGCTAAGACATTCCTAAAGAGGGGACTTTTCACAACAATTTGTTATTGCTAACTCAATGCTGCATTTACAGTATAATAAAAAGGTGAACTCCTGTATATAAAACTCTGAATTCCTTTAAAAAATACCCTATCACGTACAGGGATGTGTTGTATAAGCTAATAAGATACTATAAAAAGCATTATTGTTGGGGGAAGCTATAGGTATACCAAGTGTCTTTAAATAGTTTCTGCACATTCAGTCATTTGCCACTGACTTGCATCCTTGCTGGAATTTGAAACCAGGATCTCTTGGACTTTAATCAGGCCACCTAGTCATGCTGTTATCAAATATTAATTTAATAGAATGTTGTTTTTACTAAAGAGACTCAGATGCTTTACCACCAGATGTTACCTCATCCATTAATTCTGTCCTGCTTAATTCTTAATGAGGTTTGAACACAAAAATTTGAACGTCTGTGTTCGTGACTTAATGATGGATACTTTAAAGATACAGTTAAGAATATGTAAAGAATGATTAATATACCTTTTATAAGAAGTGATGGATGCTGAAGACTGACATAATGAACCAACAAAACAACAACCCCTTTTTCTGGTGCTCTGTGTGGAGAGAATCTACAGAAGTTTTTTAATGAACATTATTAAAATTATTAACATTATTAAATAAAAGACTATACAGTATCTATGCTAATGTACCTCAATTTGTCCTCAGATGAGCATTCATAGATACAATTAATTGAAGCATACATGTTATACACATTTCGTTTACAGATGCAGTATTTAAATGGCTAAAAAAATCCTGTTTGCTTTTTGCAATTAGGACAGCTCTCATTTGGTCATGAACAAATGCACATTTGTATGCACCTGCTAATGTTAATTTACATTTAAAGTTTAAACATGGGGTTTGTATGGTTTGTGCTGCTGGTTTCAGAACCACACTGCCATAATTCAATTTCAGCATTTATGGTTAAGAAATACAGAATGGAGTTGGAGCAATCTGCAAATTCGAGTTATTTATTATGTTTATTTCTAAAAGCGCTTTGAGGAACCCAAAGCATGCAACTACAGTATACCTTGAATTGTCAGAGAGCAAAGTCGATGTACACTCAAGTCCAAGACTGTGCTCCACAATCCTGCCACCCCACCACCAGGAGAACAACACATCTGTGCACATTCACAGATGCGGGCCTTCACTCAATACAAAACAAACATGACCAGTATTCATTCACTTTCACCAGCACGCCAAAGAGAACTGGAGCAGCAAGAAGGAGATGGCAATTGCTCAAAAATATGGAAACTTCATAATGAAATCTTTATGACTTAAATGAGCACAGTAGAGTGATTGTTATCGAGCAATGAATTTAACTGTTTCCTAACGCTCTTTTTTTATCATTTACTCTATGATAAATGAGAGGTGATAAATTATGGCACAGTTCATTCATAAAAGTGTCGGGCGCTGCAGAACTGGATGAGAAAAAGTTATGGCATCTATAAATTAAATTCAGTTTAAGAAGACGATATAAGAACATTCAAGACTCCGTACTAAAAATGTAACGTTCTCTGGAGTATAGCGTAATCATAAATTACCTGCTTTCAAACACAACGGACTACCCCTAGGAAGATTAATCTT